AGAGAGAGAGAGAGAGAATCAAAGACAGCGGTTGAGCATGCGACAGCCAATGAATGATAAATCTGAGATGAAATCAGAGTCTGGGTTAGACTGTCCCTCTGCGCTCTGCGTGAAAATATCAGAGGCTTTAAAAGTTTAACAGGCTCTCAGGGTAAACTCCAAGGTTATTGTAGTTTTTTTGTCCAACTTAGCTTTAGTTTCCAATCTGCTTTTATGATCAGATCAGCACCGAGCTTTCATAACGGTACAGGCTGGATGCGATGGTTATTTAAAGTTTAGTCACAGTTTTTGAAAACTGATGTCTGCGTGTTTGTTTGTACCTGTCGTGTAAACACATTCACAGAATATTTTCAGTCTTAATTAGATTGTAAATTTTACCATCGATTGGAGATTATAGCAAATTAATTACTGCAGATAGCCTGTCGACTTTCAGTGTGACAATGCAACATGCAAACTTTAAGTTAACCCATGAGTTAACCTTCATTAATATATAATGTTTGTCATTCTTTTTCATTAACAAAAACACTCTCTACGAACATGATTTTGTTTGTAACAGAGATTGTAATTCTTTGTATCTCTCTGTTGCAGGCTCAGAAATTAAAGTCAAACTCAACTGTTGATGGTGTCTTCTGTGTGGTAAGTTTGTTGTTATTTTTATAAAGAAAAGTAAATCATTTTGTGAAATTCATAATTAAATCATGAGACGACCTTTAAACAAACATGTAGAACAGTCCACCTCCACTTAACCTTCTGGTATTATTGAGAGGGACTGGATAAAATACTTAATAACAATAAAAACTAACTCAATGTTAGGCAGAACAAAGGATGAGTTTCAACCATCTTGGCAGAGAATGTAATCAGTTGATTTTACCGTTCCCTCAAAACAGATCAGAGTAAACCTTTCCCCACCTTTTAACTTCTTTGTTACAACTATGTTGCAGTCTAAAAGGTATCTGTAAGGCAGCCAAAACAGAAGTTTCTGAACAACCTTGAAATACACTAACAGAGTTGTAACCAAATAACAAAAAACTTTGACGGAAAATAAAGATGCCAAAATAATTGCAGTATCAAACTGCCTGTTTTAACTACATTTCAAGAATCTGCAAGCAGGTGGTTGCTGGGTCAAAAGTGCTATCAGACAATCATGTCTTTAATTTATTCGAAAAATGCCACAGCCTGTTAGAACCTGCACAAAACTTGTACATTTCACTGTTTTATCTCTAAAACCATTTTATTTTTAACCAGAAGGTAATTGCTTGTTACCAAATAATCATTAACTCTAATCCGACCTCGCTGTTGGAAGTCTCTGACCTGCCACTGTGACAGTGATTGCTGCCTTCTTTGTAAACTCCTGTTCTTTGTAGTTTCTTTGAGGCTGAAATGGGAATGTTGCTTATCTGGTGGCTTTTAAAGTTCACTGTAAATGTCATTGTACAATAATAAGGCACTGTTATGCACCGGACTGACATTTAATAGAGGCAGGGACAGGTCTGGGGGAGATGACCCAGTCGTTAGCTTGCAGCTTTATTAGCAAGCCAAAGACTGGTGCTGAAGCTCTATATACACATACTCACGCACGCTGGCCCATGCAAATGCACACACACGCAAAATACTTTCCAGCTTTCCGCTGTGGCATTTTAGTTCTAAAAACAACCTTTAGATTTTTTACTGTGTCATACCAGATGAATATATTTAAGTGTTTTTATAGGTGATATTATTGAATTAAACAGCCTAAGGTCTTGAAGTATGCCACATCTTGCATACATGAATTAAACTGCAAGTCCACTTTATGTCCCATTGGTTATAAAACGCTGGTACTGGAAAGCAAATCAGCAGAATCACCAGAAAAATAAAATGGCTTTCTCCAGTGTTTGATGCATAGATACATAAAGCTCTAAATACCTAGAAAACTAGTGACAATGGCACTTGATTTATGAAAGCTTTAGCAGAATTTTTTGTTATTGTTGTTGGTTTTTGGTCATCATTTATCAAGCTGTCATGAAAAAGATCCCAGAATCTGCTGTGGATAAGATGCAGAGGCACCTGCCACAGCTGATTCATGAAACTTTCTTATTCCACAATCTGGTCATACCGACCAGGCTACAATTGTTTGGAAACCAGTTGTCTGTAAAAATACTCTTAATCTTACATAAATCGTATAATCACCTTGAGAAAGAGGAACCTTTGTATACTAACCAGATTGAACATACGATCAGTATTTAGCACACTGGCTTACTATTTTTACCTAGAAATTATTTATTGAATGTACTGGTGTGTATTTTCAGTATTAGAAAGTGTTTCTTCTGTTCACTGGGAACTTCAGGGAACTGTGAATTATGTGCTAAAGTTACCGTAAACCAATCTTCTCTTTTAAAAAAAAAAAAATATATATTTTCATCTAATCGTAAAAATCACAAAGCTTGATGAGACAGTTTTTTACTATACTTAAGTCCTTCTGTCCTGTCCCTCTGTCCCTCTCAGGACCCTCAGATAGACGGCCCAAGTACATCCAACGCCATCCTGAGAAACTCAGCTGTCTCCAGACGGCCTGCAGGCCTGGCCTTTCTGCTGCCCCCACTGCTGTGGCTGTGGTACTGCAGCCTGCCGGGGCTCTCGTCACCAGGCGTCTTGTAGCCTCACAGCTTCACAGCAACAAACTACAACGGACTGACAAACACACATTTGTATAAAAGAAAAAGCAAAACAAGAAATTATATCCTTTCTTCTCAGTAATATCTGTTGTACTTTTATTTCCCTCTGAATTCTATCTCTCTTTCGAATCCTACTTTGTTTTTTTTAAATGAATTTTTAGGACGCTTTGTTGTTTTATTGTTTATTTTTGCATTGCAGCTGTGTGCTAAAATGGTGATCTACTGTACATGTTAACTCAGTTTGGCCGTGTGTTCCCTTTGAGTTAGCTTCCATGTTGCTCTCTTGGGCAGAAATGAGAAAATACTTGAGGACTACATTCCAATAAACCACAGCGGGTGGCTCTTGGAAAGGTACACACAATGTAAATTAGCATACATTTTCAGAGTCGTCAAATCTGTTCTCACCCACGTCTGTTTGTGTGTTGAGGCTATAGGTGGGATCTTTCGCTTAAAAGTCACAGTCAGTTCAGTAACGGCTACATTTTATCACTTGGGCAGCCTTTTAAGTGTTATTCAGTCTCCTCCTGTGTGGTTTGTGTATGTTTTGATAATGACGTGATCTGGTATTTTACATTTTTATGAAAAAGTCCATACGGAGATTTACCTGACAAAACAATGTCACTTGAAAGCCTTTTTTTTTTCAGGTTGAACACCAATAACTTAAAACATCAGAGAAGTTAGAACATCTGTGCCCAAACCCTCTTTACTGTAGCTCATACTGAACACACATCGCCGCTGGCGGAAGCACACAGGCAAAGGCCCACAAACACATACTGCACATTTTCACACATTCAGACAAAAACACACAGAAACACACATAGCGCCAGGCGTTCTGCTCCCTTTTTTTACTCCTAGTTTTTGCCAACAGAGTGATACTCAGAGATCACAGGACAGTAGGTAATGCTGCTGTGGATGGCTGAATCCACTCCACTCATTAGTGATTGTACATACTTGTAATTGTTAGAAATCCAAGCCATGTTTAGTGTTTCTCTGTGGAAGGTGACAGAGAAGCTGCTGCAGTTTCACCTGAACACTTTTTTTCCCCTTCTTTTTTAGTTGTGATGTACTTTGCTGCACTGCGTCCACAAAAACAAGAGCTGAGGAAAAAACTAGGCTTATTGTTGTAGAGTATATTCAATGGTGACTCACACGTCCATCGCTCCAAAAACTCAAAGCATCCTTTTCTGTAAGTTCAGTGACTTATTGCCGCAATTGTGAAACTGTCAACACGTGTTTGGGGAGGGGGAGATCACTTGAAATTGACCATTTGCTAAGCCCCACCACCCTTAGTTACTGCCAGTACCACTATTTTGTATTCTGGCATAGCACGTATGCAGTTTACCATAATAACTGTGGCAGAGTTGCTTCTCGAAATTGTTTCTAGAAAAATCCGCATTTGATTTCAGATAGTAGACAAAAGGACGTTTCTAAATTTCAACTAGTGACCATCCAGTTAAAAGGACAACTGTCACTACCATCAACTATAGCTAGCTAATAAATAGTTTTTTTGGTGTCAATTAGAAACCTTGTCCAGCTGATTTTTTTTAATATATGGCTGACATTAAAAAAATGATAACCCTAAATTTTGTTTTTGTTACGCATTTAATGGCTACATCAAATTAGCATATCTTACTAACTCTGGACCGCAATATAAACACTGATAAGGCTTATAATGTATGTAAAGAGCAAACAATCAGCAGTTGATGATGAAGGAACAGCATTGTTGTATTTAAGAATACAGCTACAGCACTACAGCTTTATAAGGGAAAATATAACTGATTGTTATTTTATGATAATGTAACTCCAAACCCTTTTTCTCACATTTTTGGTTCTGGAAAGGTGGAAAAAAACAACAACACCATCATTCAAGCTAGTTGGATACAGACAATCTCTCTTTAGTTAGCCCCTTGAACACCACTTCAGCATCTTGATTGGACTCCAAAGATTGACAAAGCTGCTCTGTTTAAACTGAAGTGAATCATTGTTTGGAGGAGGGGTTTAGCAAATGGTCAGTTCTGTCTTTTTATGAAACCAACTCCAGCAAACACGTGACACGTGACCTATGTACTGTATGTAAATCATCAAAGCATTTTGTATGTCTGCTCCCGAGGACTGCTGGGGGGAAAAAAAAGGCACAGCATCGCGATCATGTTCAATTCTCAGTTGTAGATCTGTTTTCATCAGCTTTTCAGATGGAGGCGTATGTATCCTCCCCACAGGAAATGCAAACTTTTCATTCTGACAGACTTCCCTCCGATGCAGACGTTTACATACATCACTGCGGCATGTTCAAGCAAGTTACTTTAGCCCTTTGGACACTGACGGGAGCATTTATGACACGCTGCTTGGGTTTATGTATTCTCAAAACATGATTAATGTATAGTAGAACTTAAATGTTATTTACCGAGCATAAACATGGTATATGCACTGTATGTACTTGGCTGAAACTATAAATTGGACAAATAAATGTCTGATGATATTGTATTCCAGAGCATTGTGAGCTATTTTGACATTCAGATACAACATAGAGTACATTGAATAAGCCAGAATATTGTTTTTTATAACAACTTGTGTGTATATTTCTCCCAGTATGTACATGAAATTGGAATATTATTGCATCTGAGAAAGAGGATATCATTGTAACTCTCCCTCTGTAGTTAAATAGTCCCATTTATGACGTTGCTTAAATATAGTATTGATTTTTTTGGCTAAGATTTGAACTTATTTTTCTATCTTTTACAAAGTTTTGCTGTTGCGATGAGTTGAAGTGAACGAGACTGACCGGCCACTTATATTTAAATTGTTCAACTTTTTAAAGATTTTTCAGTGCCGTTACCATTATTATTTTGGTTTTACTGCTGAAATAATTATGGTGACAATAACTAAAAGTTGTGCAAGAAAGAAAATTCTCATTGCATGGTGAAAGAGAAAAAAGTGTTGAAGGACAAATATATTCTATACCATACCACTGAAGGCTTTGTTATGGTATATTTGACCAGAAGTGGGCAAGTGGGAAGATTCCCACAGATTGTGAAATTTGGATGGAAAGTTAAAGAGAAATATTATGAGTTGCCAAACGACAAAAAGCTGGCCCCGACTACATTTCTCAGAACTGTGTCTTACAGTTTGTTTGATCATTTTATATTTGAATCCCAGTGTCATATCTTGATTGGCCCTGGAATGTGAGATAAAGTTTATAGAGTTTGTTCAGCTTTTTTTGAAGAGTTCCTCTGAGCTCAGAAACCCTCAAAACTGGGGTCAACTCCTCCTGATGTAAGGATCCCACTTTTGGATAAAAAAAGTTAAAGATGTTAAAAATGTTTGCTGTCCATCTCCATCCCATCTGTTGTTACCAAAAATGGCTTTTTGGAGATGCAGACTCCCTCAGATATCTGGCATCATTAACTTCTTAGCTTGTGAAAATGTAAAATCTATTGTACAAAAGTTATGATTAAAAACTGTTAAATCATCCAGACTGTTTGTACGTGGCGTTATTTCACTGGACATAGATGAGAAGACACCATCAGACAAACAGGCAGGCACATGGAAAAGACAGATCGGGGTCATGAAAGATTAAGCAAAGTTCATCGCAGGTGATGCCGAGAGCCTGATAAGACCTTACGAGTTAATGACCTCGGGTTACCCAGCCAGAAGAAACGTAAAGAGCAAAGAGATGAAACCGGATAAAGAAAAAGTCATCTGAGGTTTCAGCTTTGGCATGATGGGGAGGGGTCACATCATGCTGGTTGAGCACTCATTGATACTGTATTATCCGCTGCTGCATGAGGAGAAACAAAAGATAAACCAGAAACAAAGACACAAAGTAATCCTGTACACACTCCCCAAATGGAAGTGGATGTCTTGCCAACAACTTGTCTGACATGTCAGTTTATGTTTAATTATTACCCACCAGTATTACCCTCTGAAATTCCTGCTGCTACCTCATACTTACAAACTGAAAAATGACATTAGAAAAGCTTGTGAACTTTGTATATGACATCACATTGTTTTGAGGAGTCGTTGCAGTTAAATAGCTGATGCTATTCATTTAAAACAGCCCAGGAAAGTCAATAAAATAACTTACTATATTCTCCAAAAATGTTCACTTTCATTTATTTAGTCTTTGAAATAACAGCAGCAAGAAGGCTTTCTGAGGCTCAAATCAATTCTAATCCAATTTTCACTTACAAAACACATGATCATGAAACACAGTCACTTTATGGAACAACAAGGAAATGCTGGCAAGTGGCACTTTAAGTTAAACACATTTTACTTTGTTTTTCAGCTCTGAAAAAAAAACCATGGAACAACAATGTGTCAGTCAAAATCCGGAGTCATGTCCATTAGTGACAGATTTCAGGGTATTATCAGACCACTATTAGCAGTTTGTGCAGAGTAGACGATGGGACTACGTTTTGGGTACATGTGCTACTGTAACTGCTGTATTATTCACTCACATTAATTGTTTTTGTAAAATGGTACAACTCTTAATAACTCGTTCATGTAAAGTTTTAAAGGGAATTGGTTACTGTTTCACAGTTACAGACTCTCAAACCCAACGAGACTACCTTTGTTCCCCTTATTTGGGATTTTAAGCTTTCATGTAGCAGAGTCTTTCCAGTGAGCCAACATGCACAATAGCAGCTCTGTTTGGCCTGAATGGATCATTAACATTTGAATGAACTACAGTCAGCCTACAGTCAAATACATATAACCATACAACTAATAATAAGTACAATTCAGTCTTTTAAACTAATCTTTCCTATCAGTGAGGCAAAATATGAACATTGGACAGATGGAGAATAATGATGTTATGTAATTGTGACGATGTCAGACAGACTGAACGCACCACCTGAGGAGCATGCGATGGCAGGTGCATGCTGGGATCTGTTTGAGGTTTGAGCAGCCTTCCTGCTGTCTCGAGCTCTGTTTGAGCTCATAAATGCGCCCGGAAGTGTTTGAGAAGCTCAGCGGGACACTTTTGTCCCATTAAAGACAGAGAGAGAGTGGGTTTCTGGACTTCTCGACTGAAAGAACCCCGGTCCGACAGGTGAGTAGCTCAGTACAGTGGCTCCCTCTGAACACTGACACCGGCTGTGTTTTTGGGAGCTGCGTAGGCCTCGTCTTTGTGCTGTAACGTGTGTATCTGTGGCATGAAGCTGCTGCGGTGTTACCCTGCTAATCTGTGTTCATTTTTTTCCGCTGCAGTGTTATTGGTCATTATTGTTTAATTGCAGGAGCTCTGTGGTCTTTTGTCTTTCATTCCAGTAAGGCTATGTTAAAGAAGGCAGTTGTATATTCTGATAAGCAGTCTGTAAGTTTCTGTAAGTGTCTGGCTGTTGTTGCCTTTATCGGTTTTTATAACTCATTTTGTGTTGACACTGAAATGCCTGTAACTTACCAGGAGACATATTTCTGGCGATTTCTGTTGTTTTTGACCTAAATCTATCTATCTATTATTTTTATACCTTTTGCACTCTTTATACAAGAGATTGTATAAAGTGCTTCATTGTTTGACTTAGAAGAAACATCTTTAAAATAAGATTTTCAACCAAATGATAACTTCCAAAATAATTCCTCAGTGCTCCAGTCAGGTCCAATGCAACATGGCACTGGTGTTATTAAACAGGAGACCATGAGTAAGCTCAGAGCTGGAAAGTTATATATTAAAACCACTCTTATTATAATTTTATGGAAAACGTCCATGAGTTGAATGGAAAAGTGATGGCTTAAACAAGCCTATTTATGGCTCAATGTGTCATATAAAACAGTGTTGATAGTCATTGACATAGAGGACATCTACTGATGCATTTTTGACATTATGAATAAAACATTAATGTATAACAGAAAAGGGTGATGGGAAAATGGTTGACGTGTGCACATCATCGTCATAAAATGCCAGAAAATTAGTCTGACATTTGAATATACTTTCTAGTCATAATTCTGCATTATCTTTCAACACAGCCATTAGTCTAACTGCACGTCCTCGGTGCACCGTAATAACAGTGATTGCCAAGAATGTATTTAGTTTTGGTAAGTAGCCATAAATGCCACATCACTTGTGTTGCAAAAAGGTGTCAGGGTACAAGATCTTCATGATTGAGTACATATTCCAGATAAATAAATGTACAGCTTTACATTTGAGCAGCAGGACATTTACTAAAACTACTAAACATAAATAAATATTTTTTAAGCAATCAAGTCCTTAAGCAGACCTCAAACATCATGAAGTTTAGGCAAGGGAAACTTTATTCATATATACAATTTCATACACAAAGGAAACTGTTTTACATTAGATTAAAAAAAAATGCAAGTTACATCAAAAAGGTTAAGGAGACCCATTCACAACTGCCTGATCACAAAAACCGCATAAAGAATACACACAAACTGCTGAGTCACTAAGATGAAATAGAAAAGTACAGTGTGCAGCAGTGCAGTGATTTATGGATAAGTGTAGGAGTTGGGAGCAACTCCAGTTGTAACCCAGCCTTGGTCAAGGGTGCTGACAGGAGAACTGACCTAACATACATAGCAGGAGTAAGGTTGCAATGGCTTTCACTGTACCATAACCCTCACAAAATATCACGTGTTTGCGGTATAACTGTATTTTATATTACACAATTATTACTACTATCAGTAACAATGACCCTTAAAGTCCCCCTCCACTCAAAAATCTGTGTTTCTTCTTGTTCCTACAGTGTGATGTTTGAATGATGTCTGTGCAGAGTTTGACACTAAAAGGATGTTTTCACATTCATCTGCTGAAAGTGGAAAGTTTCTCTGTGCTCATTGGGAATGGATGGTAAATGGACCTGAACTTGTATAGCGCCTTGTAGTCTTCCGACCATTCAAAGTGCTTTTACACTACATGCCACATTCGCCCTTTCACACACTTTCACACACCGATGACACAGCGTTCAGCGTTCAGTATCTTGGATACTTCGACATGCAGCAGGAGGAGCCGGGGATCGAACCAACAACCTTCCGATTAGCAGCCACAGCCGCATTGAAAGTCTGATTTTAAAGGGGCGGTGCCTATGAGGAAGATTTGTGACATCACAAATAGTTTGGAAGTCCATCCTTAAGTATGCAACTTATACAGCGTGATGTAGAAACTTGAAGCTACCAGTGCACATTTTTCATAACACTAATACAGTAGAATTGACTACCGAATTGGATGGATGATGTATAATGTTAGAGTTAACGTAACAAACTCTCTCCTCTTCCTCCATTTGATGCCTCTCTGTCCCTGCCTGAACTCGCAGGGTCACCCCTGGAGTCGTAGTCCTGGTTGGAGCTGCTGATTAATGAATGATGACGACTATTAGTAGTACGCAGGGAAGCTATAAACCTGGAGATACAAACACATGCACCACCACACAGAAAGGCCCTGCCTTTTGAACCCAGGACCTTTTTCCTGTGAGGCAACAGTGCTAACCTAAATCCCTTATTTTTTTAGAATCAATATTGACTGTATTTCATCATGGCACACCTGTCACTATGACACTGGTGTACCGGCTTCCTCTAGAGGACAACATGAATTGGTTTGGTGAATGAAAAGGATCAATTATATATCAATGGACTGAAGGGGGATTAGATAAATGTTTAATGAAAACACCAAGCACTGTGACAAATGATTAAAGACTTTCTGTATCCATTCAGCTATATCTTTTCTTTGTCCAAATAAAATGTCCACAAATGGAGCAGGAACAGATTCTAACTGCAGATACTTCCCAGGGCACTTCTGTCCCCTTATTGTAAAATAAAGCTAATAGTGTCACACATATAAATTGCACAACCCTGAAATTAGTCCCCTCCCTCCCCACTAGCTATCAAACATTACATCATGTGAATGTGGGGAATTGGATTTTTGATAGCAGGCAGCATTTCACATGCAGAGATGGAGCTTATTAAATCATTAAAGTCCAATTTTCTTACTGTGGAAGGGCATCGGTGGATATTAGCACTGTGAGCTGTGATGAAAGTTGTGGAGCAGTCAGGTATTACCTGGTGTTTGTGCAGCAATAATTGGGAAGGAAGAAAGAAGGAACGGCAGTTGGTTATATCTGCAAATTACATAATTCTTGGAATTGACAAGAATGAGCTGCAAAAATCTCCCTCCTACCAATAAGTCAGCTCAGTTGGTAACCGACTCCTTAAATTCTTATTTTCTTGCAGTGAGATTATTTGAACCTATTCACAATGCAAATCAACTCAAAGATAAAGGTCCAGTGTGTAATATATTGGCAGAAATGGAATATAATAATCATAGCTATGATTTTATTAGTGTATAATCAGCTGAATAATAATTGTATTTTCTTTGTTTAGAATGAGCTGTTTTTATCTGCAGAGGGAGCAGTTCCTTTTTCTATGATGTCTGCCATGTTAAACCACGATATTTCTACAATAGCCCAGGTCAGTCACTACTATTAGTGTAGTGGTTGCTACTGTAGTTTCTTCT